GAGCTCTGCGATCGTCGCACGACGACGAATAGCTGGAGCAAAACACGGATCTCGCGGCAAGATTATGAGCGGCACGCGGCGGTCACGGCGGAGCCGAAATTAGAAACTCTGGAAGCGGAATGAAAACATTGCGGAAGGCTTCGAGCGTGCGAGTTCTCGCGGAAACGTTGCGGGACACGCGCGGACATGGACGAGTAAATAACTTAAAAATTTCCGAGAACGCTCTAGAACGAACGGCCGGCACGCAACTCGGCGATACCGTTGTCTGACCATTATCAGGTCGTAACTACTGTGCACAGGCATCGTCGCTCCCCGTCTGATAAAATCGGTCTGCAAACCGCTAACAATGGCCCGGCCTGTATTTGCTGTTCTTTTCAGCGGCGCGCGGCGCATCAATGTAGGTCATGGTAACATCATATTCAGAATTTTTAACAGTGCCGCCGATGAATCCCTCTGCTCCGGCTGTTTCTCTATCTTGTGTTCCCAGCCTCGTTTCCCGCCGACTCCTCCGCTCCCCCCCGCCGCGATCATTTTTTTTTCTTCCCTTTTCGCGGTATTATAAAATCCTACCGCGGCGTGCGGATTCGCCGCGCACAAAAGCTCCCGTTCAACGTCTTATCGCGATGAAACGCTCGGATATGAATATGCAATACTCTTAAGAACTGCAAGCGGACCGGCATACTGCAAGCGACCGGCTGCCGATCGCCGATCCGGCTCGCGAAGATCTCGAACGAGCGTTCGTCGATTCGATCGCGGTCAGACCAGCGAAACATTTGTCGATGTCTATACCGTCGGCGTTTAGCGAAAACGAATCGTGCGACGTTCTACTTGGGCTCGTTTTAAAGCTCTGAGCTTCTACTTTCGAAATACGTTGGTGATTTTTCTTTCGAATATTTTGTGCGTCGCGCGGAGAAGGAGAATCGATGGCGTGATTCACCCTCGAAAATGATACTAATTGAGATGCGTGTAAAAACAGCGGAGAATTATTTTCGGGATTCAATTTGCCACCGAATTGAAGATCGAAGTTTCCTCTTTATAACGGTATCACGAAAATTGGTCTACGATTTTTTCCAGCTGTCTCGCGGCGCAATAATGAGGAACATGTTTGGTCGGGTATAATGTGAAGTACAGCTTTCGTTCAAAGATCGATAAAATGTAAATTTTAATGTTAAAAGGTTTCGGTTTCGAACACGATTGCGCTTCGTTGTTTCAGAATTATCGTTAAACGTGTTAGATTGAAACGCAATGTCGCAGATGACGAACGACGAGCTTTGCGCGTCGCATCGTCCATGCGGGAAGGGTGAAAACATTCCGTAAACTTTAAACTTTTTATTCCGAACTTAAAGGGATGTTAGTCGACGAAGACTTTGGTCGACGAAACGAAACACGTATCGAATATTTTTCGCAAGTTTTGCGAAGATAAAGATTTCGTACAAATCCTTCGAAGTAGCGTGCATATGGTTGAACATCGTTCGTCCAAGGCTTTTGTTTTCTAGTCGAAAATATATAACAGCGAAATATGTATAAAAATGTTCGAAAATGAAATCATTAAAATGGTTAAACTTGAACTTAAGTGTTAAACTTGAACTTAAATTAAACTTAAACTGTTATACTTAGACTTAAACTTGAACTTAAACTGTTAAACTTAAACTTAAACTTAAACTTGAACTTGAACCGTTAAACTTAAACTTGGACTTGAACTTTAACTTAAACTTAAACTTGAACTTTAACTTAAACTATTAAACTTAAACTTAAATTTGGACTTAAACTGTTAAACTTAAACTTAAAGTTGAACTTAACCTTAACTGTTAAACTTAAACTTGAACTGTTAAACTTAAACTTAAACTTAACCTTAACTGTTAAACTTAATCTTAGCTGTTGAACTTAAAAATAACGCAAACATGAGTCCAAAAGAACATTAAGAAAATCATTAAACCTTCCAACTATACTGCGTATCTTAATGCACTTATGGCAACGCTCTGATTTTTAAAATGCAAGAAACTTTATAAATCGACAATATCTAGTAGCATCTTAATTTTCTTCTTACAATGAGTAATCTTTTAGCCATCGGAGGAAGCTTCTCTTTAATTCCGATTTTCGTAAACTGACATATAAAAATTAGAATTTGCATAAAGATCCGCAGTCTAGTTACAACAAAGGACCACTCAAAGTTGCATTCTTAAGCGCTCCAATATACGAAACTATACCCTATAGCCAGCACCGGCAACGATGGTAACGAGCTCGTCGCGGGTGTGTACATATTGAACTTCGCCATCATTAATTCGTGGTGAGCCGGGTCACGTGACCGGCCGCCAGTTCCTGGCTCCGACAATGGACCGTTTCGCGGTCCCCCCAGGGGTGTTCGGCTCGCCTCTATTCTTTGGCCGGGGGGCGTAATCAGTAGGACCGATCCGCGAAATTTGGGTTAAAGCATTTTTGAGCCGGTTTGAATGGATTGACAGGAATTCCGGAGAGGGCTGGCACCGGCCGGGCCGGGCCGGGTCGGGCCGGGCCGAGACACCGAGCCGGCGGAAAGTTAATTTCGGGTACGGTCCCCGACTCCGACGGCATTGTGAGCACCGTCGAGACTATCCATAGGACCGCGGCATAGAAAATTATTCCCGTTTCGCGGCGGCATTGTTCGCAGAAATTGATTCCTTTGAAGTATGAGCCGGGGAGAGCCTGACGTATTGTTCGCCGTTGCCTTTTATAAGACACGACTGTCGACGGCGAGAGGAGTATTATTTGCATTTCGTACGAGTGGATCGCATTGTTCCCGGAATTTCATCTTTCTAGGATCCGGGGGACGTTCGCGACTTGCGACCTACCGGCAGCGGCGGCGCTGTCGTCTCCGGGGCTTAGCCTTCGAATTTTATGCTCGTCGATACGCGAGATCATCGCCATTGTTCGGTGCCGCGGGAACGTTACAGCTAATCGCTCTCTCGTTCGCCTGATTAACGCTCCGAGACTCGCGCCGAAATTGCCGATCGTTCGCTCGGATTTCGAGATCAATTTTTCGAGCAGGTTTAAGCACAATGCGACGACGTTGAATGAGTTGCGAGTTATCGCGCGGCTTGCGTTGTCCATTTTGATTTTATTGGGTTAAATTATTTTCATTTTGTTCAGGATTGTTCGAGAATTATCCGTTAAATAGTACATTTTTAATTGTAACATGGAATCACATTCTTAGTTTTACGTTAATATCGCGTTCTTAATTTTATATTAATATCACATTCTTAATTTTACGTTAATATCGCATTCTTAATTTCACATTCATATCACGTTCTTAATTTTATGGTAATATCACATTCTTAATGTTACATTAATATCAGATTCTTAATTTTACACATTTTTAATTTCAAAATCGTACGACGAGTATACTCGTCATGACAAAAATTACTGTCACTTCTCCACGACGAGTTTACTCGTCTTGACACAAAATACTGCGACTTCTCCACAACGAGTGTACTCGTCATGACAAAAAATACTGCGATTTCTCCATGATGAGTATGCTCGCCTTGATAAAAAATACTGTCACTTCTCTACGACGAGTATATTCGTCATGATAAAAAATGCTGCGACTTCTCTGCGACAAGTATACTCGTTTTGATGGAAAATACTGTCACTTCTTCACGACAAGTATACTCGTCATGACACAAAATACCGTCACTTTTCCACGACGAGTATACTCGTCTTGACAGAAAATACTGTCACTTCTTCACGACGAGTATACTCGTCTTGACAAAAAATATTCACACTTCTCCATGACGAGTATACTCGTCATGACAACAAAATACTGACATTTCTCCATGACGACTATACTCGTCAAACACAGCCAACCGGGTTGGCCTTAATTGACATAAAGACCACAAAAAGCAAGTTCGCTGCGAGAAAGCGAACGTGACCCACGAAGAGGCTAACCCACGATCTCGCTCCAAGTTACAGCATTCTAACCGAGGAAACTTCTTTTTCTGTTTCAGCGACCACTCGATAAGCAATCGCGTGGATCGTCGGGGTCATCCGATGCACTGCGAGTGCGGCGAAGTAACGAGGCCGTTATGACGACGCGAGGAAACGGCTGAGAGTGCCCTGGCCACGTCGCAGTCCGACTTCTAGGCCTTATCCACTTTGTTCCAGTTCTCTCCCGCCCTCGGCCGTTTCTATCGTCCCCCAAACCAACAACCATCTCCCATCTCGAAGCCATCGCACCTTGTACGCGGACACAGAACCGAAACCCAGCCACACCCCCGTCGCAATCGTCGGAGACACACCCACAGACCGCGTCGCGACGGTGGGTCAAACAGTGAGACACGCGCGACTTCCCCCCGCAGCAGACACACGCGTGTACACACACACAACGCGTACACACAAACACACATATACACACACGTAAACACGTATAAACCGACAGCGTTTCGGGGAGCAGGACGCTGATCGGTGCACAGAGGTACCGCTCGCACAGAGAAGCAGAAAGACGAAAGGGAACGATCCGTCGAGCTCGAGAAAAAGTTCCTGCTCCGCGTGTACACGGGAAGATCGTCGGAAGGGAACGTAAGTTTGCGAGCACCGCGGCCTCGCGTCGGGGCGACCTTCCCCCATTGATTCATTGCGTGACCGCAAGATGTTGCGCGGCACGGGTGTGCTTTAGCTGAATCTGATTTGCGGCCGACATTATTTGTTCCTCCTCCGCTGTCTTATTCCGGCGCCGGGAACGCGTGTTCCACGTTACAACGCCGGCAGCTCGAATCGCCTGTAATTGGTCTGCGAGCGGCACGAGCCGGGACAATCGCGACTCCTGACGGTGGAACGTCGCTCGCGACGGTTCCCGAAGAAACTTCTGTTCGGGGCTGCTTCCCCTCCGCCCCTCCGCGGTAGCTGACGCGCTTAGCAGAGCCTTGAAAGTCGTCTCGAAGCGTTGGAGCCGCGCTTTGGATCGTCGGCGAAGCGAAGAAGAAGAGATCAGTCGTCTCCGAAGCGATCGCTGGCGAGCAAGGAGCGATCGCGCGCCCAAAGAGACGTCTCAGAAAATCACTGGGAACCGCGACGGAAGCAGCGCATTCGACGACGACTTCCGAGGAAACTTTTGTTAATATTTTCCCCTTTTCTTCGCGGTAGAGCTATTATTCAGCTTGCTTAGGAGAGCCCGAAGTCTCGAGAGCGCGGCTCGGAAATCGTTCGGAAGGCAGATGGACGGGCACAGACAATCGCCTGCTGAACAATTATTATCGAGGATGGCCTAAAAAAGTAGTCTTAACGGAGCCGCTGGAAATTGCGCTTGGACTCGCGGCAAACGGTTTCGTCGAGGAAGCAACCGCAGGTCTCGAGGATCCATCCGCTTAAGTTTAAAGTAAGTCGCCGCGCCAATTTCCCCGTTGAATCCGCGGCCCTCGATCGCGGTTTCGCCGGGTTCCGGCTCCGCTCGCGGCCCGCCTCGCTTGAAAAAGCTCCGATCTCGCGAGAGAATAAGACGCGGCGGCGTCGTCGTCGTCGTCGTTTCGAAGTTGAATCCCCGAAGCAAATGAAGCGAAAGTTGCTCGGCGGCGCTCGTCCCTCGCGCGACTCAAATTGCAAAAGCTCGCGCAGGAAATATTGCCGGCAGCCGATGACCTCCTTTCGTCGACCTTCCCCCGCGGAATTACAGCGTCGCGCGAAACTTTCCCTGATAGTTGCCATTTTAGCTTATCCCCCGGGTGCCAACTAGCCTCCATAATTCATTTGCAACCCCGCGCGCAACGCGCGCCATCCTCGAAACAACGGATACCGGGTTTCTCCGCCGGAATTTCATCGCCGAATTTCATCGCCGAGTTTCATCGTCGCCGAACTTCGGCCCCCGCTCTCGGGGCCTTTGTCTTCGATCTTTTCCTCGGCTAAGCGACGCCCGGGCAGGCAAACTGTCCGGAACTGCTCGCGAGGCGCGTCGGCAGGTCCCGAAATCGCGATCGCGAACAGCGGACCATCGACGGACGATAAATTCCTCGCGATCTGCGACGAGGGCAAAGCTGCCGACGAAGCGTTCGCGCGGACCAGAGGCGACTGGGGCACGAAATTTTCAAGATCAGCGACGCGATCTTTCTGGTACACAGGTACGTCTTGCACGCAGCGTTGGGCAGAGGCTCGAGCTTTTCACTCGAATCGTCGGCGAACGATCGTCGTTCTGCTTCGATCGGCGACGGCGATCGGCGATTTTGCGGGCTTCGATCGTAACCATCGGTCGCGCAATAGAATACACGGTTAATTGCTGATACTCTTTGCGAATTGGAATTGAAGACTTCGACGCAAAAGCATGGATTTTACGGACTGTCTAAGTTTTCGCGCTGAATCATCCGCGACACGGAAAACTGAGTACTCGAGAAGAACAATCTTGTTAAAAGGTGAATCGCTTGCGGGTGACGCTGATTTTTAAACAGCTTTTGGAACTCATTCGTGTCGTAAGGTATGGAACGAATCGAATGTTGCTAGAATTTTGTAGAACTCGAAACAGCGGAATTAATATTTCGAATAGTAAATTTTAAGTTTCTAATTTTGGTTCGGTTAGTTGAATAACTTCGATATAATGGGAACTATATGATATCGAAGTTGATATATACAGAGTGTCCTGAAATTATGATATTTCCGAGAAATGAAGGATTCCTGAGGTGATTTGAAGCAACTTTTTCCTTTACAAAAATTTTCTCCGAGGCATCGTTAACGAATTATTCATGAAAAAACACTGACCAATGAGGGCCGAGTTCGCTCGACGCTAGGTGACCGGGTCAATGAGCGGAGCCGAGCTCCGTGCGCTCGTTGGCTCGACCGCCGCGCGCCAACCAAGCTCGCCTCTCATTGGTCACTGTTTTTCGTTAATAACTCGTAAACGAAGCCGCGGATTGCAATTTCGCTGAGGAAAAAGTTACTTCAAATGATCTCGGGAACCCTTCATTTCGCGGAAGTACTATAATTTTGGGACATACTGTCCCATGAATTTTAACTTTTTAATTTTGGTTCGTTTAATTAAATAACTTTGATATAATGGGAACTATATAATATCGGAGTTAATATATGAATTTTAACTTTTTAATTTTGGTTCGATTAATTAAATAACTTTGATAAAATGGGAACAATATAATATCGGAGTTGATATATGAATTTTAACTGTCTAATTTTGGTTCGATTAATTAAATAACTTTGGTATAATGGGAACTATATAATATCGGAGTTGATATATGAATTTTAACTTTCTAATTCTGATTCGATTAATTAAGTAACTTTGATATGATGGGAACAATATAATATCGGAGTTAATACATGAATTTTAGCTTTTTAATTTTGGTTCGATTAATTAAATAACTTTGGTATAATGGGAACTATATAATATCGGAGTTGATATATGAATTTTAACTTTCTAATTTTGGTTCGATTAATTAAATAACTTTGATAAAATGGGAACAATATAATATCAGAGTTGATATATGAATTTTAACTTTCTAATTTTGGTTCGATCAATTAAATAACTTTGATATAATAGGAACTATATAACATCGTAATTATATAATATATAACATCGTAATTATATAATATTCGTCGTTCAATCAACACTTCGCGCGAGTCTTCGATAACACAAAAAACCGACTGCGGACCAAACGACAATCAATTTCTCGAACCGACGATCTATGGTTAATTTCCCGAAACCGGCGATTAATCCCGCAAATGGATCTGCGATTTTTCGATCGATCGGCCTGAAAACACGAATTAACGCCCAGCGTTGCTCGCACGGCGTACGAAGATACCGCGTGCCGGTCGCGACGATGGTCGCCGATACAATGGGGCGCACGAACGAACGCGCCCGTGACGGGCGACGTCCGCGGGGGGAGGGGGGGGCAATTACGTTCGACGTCTCGAAGCAGCCGGATGTCACGCGGTAATCGAGTGCCGTTGGTTGCCCGTGACGTTTAAGAGGGACGCGCCGGTGCCGAGGCGAAAGCAAGTGTAAACACCGAATCATAACGATGTAACTTCGTCAACGAAAGGCACCGTGCCGGATTGATCGAAGTCCCAGGCGATGCCTGGAGGCTTTTGTGCGCGCCCGGGCAAAAAGGCCCGCAGAGAATGGCACCGTCGACGGCCGATATTTCCCTCGGCCGTGGAAATTCAACGGCGAGAACCAGCCCTCTCGCCGAGGACGGGCATTTTGTACCGCCAATCGGAAGTCATTTTTCACCGACGGAAAAGTGAATAATTTTCCACGTGTAACCCGGGAATCGATCTTGCCAGTTGCTAAGTGCCACCTGGACGTTCCTGGCATACGGAGAAACGGCTCTATTCGCACGGCGACGAGTCCCGCTAAACTGGCAACTTGAAATTCAATTCTTGTCGAGTCACTCGAGTAGGTTTTTTCTAAACGCGAGAATAGCGTCACTCGTGTGCGGTCGACGGTCAACGTGCTAGGATGAATCGATAGTATCTTGATTTAGTTATTAACACGTTCCGTGCCACGTGTACCATCGATGGTACACGCTTGCATGTTTACTTAGTGAACTGAACAAATTGTTTACAAGAAATTTAGAACCGAAGAATCAATTTCCACCGCAAGAATGGGCGTTGATAAGTTTTTGTTACGTTGTTATGTACGAGAATTAATAATTGCACGTAATACATCAAGTTTTAGTAAAATATCAAAGTGTGAAGATTCGAGTAAAAAAAGCTCGGCACGGAACGTGTTAATCGAATTAATAGTCGTCTGATTGTCGATCTTCGTGCAGCGTTAAATTTGTCTGTCAATCAATTGCGAGAAAGTTAATACAGTCAATTGCGAGTTCGTTCTTTGTTTCGGTAATTTTTTGTTTGGATTATTGGCCTTGCTCGACGATTTTAATTCACGAAGATTTATAAAAAGATTGCAACGTCTTTTCCCTTTTTATTCTCTGTACTTTCGCATGCATGAAACTGTTCTTTGTTTCGCACATGAAATACTGTGCAATTTTTTAAGTTTCTGACTAATATTAATAGATCTTTTAACATTAATAGATCTCATACGAGATGTCAATATCGATAATAAAGTTAATAAATCAACGAAACAGTGTGAAATCCTTTCGATGCTCCTGCTGCAAAATAGTATAAAACAATGTTAACAAGTTAACGAAACGGTATTAAGCTCTTTCGACGCTTTCGCTGTGCAACGGTACGCACAAATGTGCACGAAGATCCACAATTCGACGATGATATCGATGGTAGATCATTTACGAAAGCATTGAGGAAAGCGCACTCGATTTTCCGTCGAATGGTTCAAAAATAATTTTCCACGATCGAGAACGAAGGCAAACCCTGCCGGCTTTGCGTTCGCGAGTCATTTTTCTTAATCAAGAAAGTAGTTCCATGGAACTCGTCCTCGGCC